CTCAGATCCGTGTTAATGTAATGTCGAATGTGTAATGTAATGTAATATAATGTGTAATGTGTAATGTGTCGAATTATTATTATCGTGTCAATGCATTTTTCCTATGGCTCTTTCACCTTTTCCCCCACCTTCCCCTCATGACTCATCATGACGACGTCTTTGGAGTTATCGAAGTATGCCAGTGTAGGCGCTTGCATTAGGAGCTCTTTTATCTCTTCGAACGCTCTCTGTGGAGATTCTGACCATACAAATTCTGTCCCTTCATTGCACTGATTTTGTCTGGATCTGGCTTGACTCCAGCGTCTGATAGGATATGGCCGAGGTACTTCACTGATTTTTTAGCGATTTGTAGCTTTATTCTGTTGAGCTTCGGACCTTTTTTCTTGACCCTTCCGGAAAGTGCTCTCAGATTCGTATCATGGTCCCTTGCAGCCTCCTTATCCGAGTCCCCCGTTCCTTGGATTATTGCATCATCGGCCACGACGAGGACTCCACGTAACCCTTCGTAGGCTTGCATTTGTCTTCGTTGGTATTCTTCGCTGGCCGAGCAGAGACCGTTGGGCATCCTGTTGTATTTAAAGCGCCCGATAGGACTCCAAAACGTAGTCAGATGGCTGCATTTCGGATCTAGTCTCATTTGGTAAAACCCGTCTTTTGCATCAACTGTGCTAAACACTCGGGCCTTCGCCAATAAGGGCAGGTGGTCTTCTACCGTCGGCATCGGGAACCCGGGCCTCTTGATGGCCTGATTCGGATGTGTCGGGTCTAATGTTATTCTGATAGTTCCGTCCGACTTCGGCACTGCCACTAGGTTCGAGATCCAAGCCGTAGGCGTATTCACTCTTTCGATTATGCCGGCCCTTTCTAGTTGAAGTAACTTTTTTCTCAGCGCTTCTCTGATCTTGATCGGCGTTTTCCTAGGTGCTTGCTGTCTCGGAGGCACTTCGGGTTTCAATTCCAGCGTAACCATCTGATCGAACTCTCCCAGTCCGGTGAAAATGTCCGCGAATGACGACTGAGATCCTAGCCACGAAACCTCAACCTCATTGAAGATCGGAGGATCATCTACGGCAGCGGTTCTCAACCTGGGTTCCGCGGAACCCTAGGGTTCCGCGAGCCCCTGCTCGGCTGCTCAGACTTTTATTCATTTGATCGAATTGGAATGAATTTTCTAAGCACTAATGCATGCAGGATACTTCATGCGATCGTGGTCGAAGGTTTTGAGGTGATCAAGGGGAAAGGAAAGATAGAGTCCGAAACCAATAATAAGGATTCCGCGGCACCCCACCAGGGTTCCGCAGGGCAAAAAAGGTTGAGAACCCCTGATCTACGGGATGACACGGACCAAGTTGGTCGACTCCTCGAGAGAACAGGACGCCATGCATATGGAGGGGGGCATATCATCTACTTCTTCTCAACATATTCCAATGCAATTTGTTATAGTTCTCCGACCCACCCTTACCTGGGGTCGCTTTGGCGCGGTTGCTGAGCAATGATGTGAGAAGCTGATGAGAAACTTCAATTAAGAATGCTTTCTGTACAACACGAAGATATCGACTCCGGAATGCGGGGCCAGTGGAGGGTTTCCCCGGACGCAGTCATAGATCGATGCGATCCGGAGAGGGTGAACGAGGTCGCCTTTCAGGTTGATTCAGATGAGGAGGAAGGCATTTGCAGTCGGCGATATATTCTATAACCTGACCTATAGGTCTTTGATTCCTCTCTTTGTTTCCGTCCTCTCCCTCAAAAAAACTTGACGCCGGTTCGGCTGAGGGCCAAACCGAAGTTCGCGTAGAACTACGGAGAATGCGCTCGTTTAGAATGAGTGGAGCACTCAAATGGATAATTTGGGCTCGCGTTTCGAGCGTGACCGTTTATCGAATTTTATTCAGTTTATGATGGTGAATATTGGTTTGTGGTAGCTGAAATATGCGATATTATTGATGATATTTTCATGTTCTAAATTTCGGGTGAAGATGGGATCAAGGCAGGTGTTACTGTTGGTGGTTGATTGATTCGGGTCTGTGATTAGATTGACATTGGACTGTGTTGACATGAAAACCAATTGATTTCTTTGGTTAGGTTCCTTCATATTCCAATTGAAATCGCCGCAGATGATCAATGTTTTTTTTAGCGTGGTCGTTTTCGCAGTCAACTGTTTGTTTGTATTTAATGAATAAAGCTTCGATTTTGGGGAAGTTTGATCCTGGACTGATATAGATGCGGACAATCGTAGTTGTGTGATTATTGATTTTGAGGCGAGCGAAACAAAGATCTCCGCAATCGTTGTGTGTTACGATTGGCTGAGGGAGTGATTCGGTGGCTCCGGGCGAGTCTATTCGGTCGTAAATGGCGACGCCACCTGGTCTCTTGTTTTGCGATTGCAATCGTAAATTAATCGGGTTCTGATGCTCGTTTCCACACCAAGTTTCTGTGAAACAAAATATTGTGGCTTTCATGAGCAGCGAATCTGATGAAATGTCGAGAGCGTGGGCCTGTAGGCTTTGCACGTTTAAGTTCAGCAAGATGTGAGTTTTTCCTTCGAGCTTCTGTAAGGTTTGATGGTCTGTTGTTTGGAATTTATATTTTTTGAGGCGTTGAAGTTCATCTCGTAATTTTTGCAATCCGGGTGAAACGACAGGTTTGGCATGATAAAAATGAAAGTCGTTTCCGGAGTTCGTTATAAATAGGTTGACGAGCGTCTTCACGCGAGATAATGCTACGTACACCAATTGTTGTTGCAGAGAACGCGAATAGTCGAAAACGATACTGTCAAAAGTGGAACCCTGTGATTGATGTGTTGTCATGGCGCAGGCCAAAGACAGTGGGAATTTAAGCCGTCGACATTTAAGCCGCACTAGGAAGGTGGTTGCTCGACGGTAAATAGGAACCTAAAAACGTTGGAGGTCGCCTCGGCTGAGCAGCGTTCCACGGTGTTTCGATCTGACGAGAGATCCGGTGTTAGTGTGGTCTCCGAAATCCAACCACAATCGGTTGATTTTTTGGTTCGTGATTGTTCTCGGATCGTTTGTCTCCGAGTCGCTTTGATCTGGAACATCGAAATCGACAAATTTTAAGCGGCCGATCGCTCCATTGACTAGCCCGTCTTCAATATCTATGTTGCATGTGATCATGTATGGTTGGTCAACAGTGAGGGGTAAGTTATATGAGATGTTGCCACTTTCTGTCGGGAGCATCCGATGCACGCGTATGCGGGCATTCGTCAATTCTGATTCTTTGCGATGGCCG